CATCCTTGTATAGCCAATATGGCCGTGGCTTTGCCCACAGTCGTCTGCACATTTAACTCGCGCGCGTACTGAATGACGTAGGTAACCTTTTCTGATCTGTCAATAACGCCGCCGACATCTTTGTTGTTCTTGGCTCGAACGGACTGGCTGGCTGTGGGGTAATTGTAATAAAAGCTAGTCATAGCGAGGGTGTAAAGTTGACAATGCGACAAGAGCACAGCCCAGGCAGCTGGGCAATGAAGTGGTTAGGCCACCCGACAATGGGAAAATTATATGGTGAAAAAGTAACTTATTTATGAGAAAAGAATTTGTATTTTGAAAAACTGGGCAATAGACCGAGGTGAGCTCTAAACCGGGTGGGCAATAAAACAACATCGACTGTACTTGGGAACCGAAGTATGCGTGCGATGATTGGACACATGCGCAACACACGCCACATAACTACATGACCCTGAAGCAACGAGCGCCATACCACCTCCAACAGAGAATACGTAGATGAACGGAAGTTTCGTTGGTCAGAACGATGAATCTAGTAATGCTGTTTAATACAATAAGCAGTTCCATCCGCCCTTCGGGTTTTACTTTTATGCCTTCACCAAGCAAGGCAAACCATAAAGATTCGCTGGCCGGAGTAGTTTAAAGAGAGGATGTGGGAACCTTCGTGGGAGACTTCGAGTACGTGGCGGAGGCGGTTGGATTCAAGGCCAACCAAGCGAAGCATGTGGTCGCAAGGATTCTGCTCCAGGGCAGGGTGAAGGCTCGCCTGCAAACGACACCAAGAGGTCCCGTATATTTGGATTGGGCTTCAGCGAAGGGTGCATATGTTCCGGATTGGACAATCCTGCTGACCGCCAGGAGGCGATGTTACGATTTAAGGCAGCGCGGCTTTGTGCCAGGGGCAGATCGCCTCGTGTTCATTGTTTGCATCAGGAGCCTGTTGGATCATGCGCTACCGGTAATGGACGAATAGTCAAAACAGCAATTATTGGTGGATGAATTCATGGCCGGTCTCCCACATCCAACCGTGGAACGCGTCCGGATTGCGAACGCTACCCGGGGGATGCAGCCAAAAAAGTTGGCATAGGTGAGTCGAGAGTTAGGCGAGGCGCCATTTGTTGTGCTGAATTTGGAACACCATGAAGAGTTGAACGGTTGGATAAATTAGGACGGATAATGAAGCATTAATGGGTTTCGCGTTCAGCGCTCGGAGGAGCGCACAGTGGAATATTGCTTCCTTTGCAGGAGAAGGGAACACCAGAAAAGACAGTGTCCGGTGTGCATCTTGTTGCCGTTTACCAAATACACGCATTCAACCTGCTTTTTTATCGGATCGAAGAACATATGCTTGGAGAACTGAATAGAATGACATTTGGAGCGATGGTGGAGGCAGACGGAACGATGGATCGGTGTCTGATCGATACGGGTGCTGCAGTGGCGCTACTTAGCCAGTGGCGGGGCAGAAAGTTTCAATTGTGTTCCATGGTCGTGACAGCCGTTGCCGGGTACTCAGTGTGCTTTGGTGGTATGGCAGAACACATCGTGGGAATTGGGGGACGGAAACTAATACACGTCGTCTCACAAGCTGTGATGCAAACCATATTAGGAGCAGATTTAATCGAATTCAACAAAGTTATCCCCGATTTAAAACGGTTGAAGTTGTTGACTGAATACAGGTCATTTCCACTCATTGGCCGCGGAGGAAAGGTACATTTTGCACTCGGTTGTTACTGTGTTACACTTTGGCCCGGCCCTGCAGTCACTGATCACTAGGTATTAGCCTTTGTCTACGGATGGTGGCAAACCGTATGGCTTTTGCGACCGGATCGAACACGCCATCTCGCTAACCTGTCAGACCCATCTGCCCCAGGGACATCGAATGGTTCCAATCCATTTTGAGACTGAAGTGAAGAGACAAATGCAGGAGATGCTTGATGCAGATGTGACTGAATACCGAGAAAAGGAGGTGTATGCCGTCGGCGAGACAAAATGCCTAATCAAAAGGATAACTTTTGGAGTATCGTGAGTCTCTTTACCTTCCGACGTTTAATGTTGCACTTACTGAGGGGCTTGAAGAATGTTGCAGTGTACGGGGATGATATCGTGAGATGTAACCAGCCAGAAGCGAAACACAGCGGTCATCTCGAAGCAAGCTTGGATCGGATTCAGATGAGCGGAAGTTTCGCTGGCCAGAACCCATGCATCTAGTAATGCGATCTAGTACAGTAAACGATTCATTCCGCACCCCGGTTTCTTAAAATTGCATATGAGATCCGCCTCTGCATCCCACCCACTGTTGTGCTACGATCCCCCTCCACGGGTACCGATCTCTCAGGTTTATTCGAAATCTACTAATTAGGCAGTTCGAAGTGCCCACCGGTTAATCGAGTACTTGGCCCAGGGCTACGAAATTACATAATCGACATTACGCTCTCTTCTCATGTTTTCTCATGCAAACCGCACCAATATTATTCGCTGATGCAAATCGCTTCCACAGTACCACGTTACCAGTTTGCCTATCAGTGCCTTTGACTAGCACATACCACGAAATAGTATATGCTGGCACTCCTCCCCGGGTTCAACGATTGTTCCTCAACCAGCTTGCCTTCTTGTGAACCCGTAGTGATTCCTTTGCGCCACCACTCGTAACACTTTGTTGACAGCGTTTTCATCGTACATTTGGGACCATTCGTTTTGTTACAATTGGCTTATTATAGCCTTCAGAGCCTTAACGTTGCTGAAAGCACCACTGAAGCTTTGCTTATTATCATCATTATACGTGTTAGCTGCAGGTGAAAAACACCTCAGCTATTGTGTCGCAATACAAAAGAAAAGAAAAAGAAAAGAAACAGTGACACGCCGACTGAGTCCCCAGTAACGGATGGACATCGTTCCGGTGAGCTAACAGCTGCCTCTCGTGCCGTAAAAAGTGAGTTATATTATGCCTAACGAGTGAGATCGTGATTGGAGGGGGATGCACAAAGGAACTCATAACACAAACGCCATTGGGGCCAGCTACAAGCCATATCAAGCAAACGTGTTCATCGTCCTTAGGACCCCAGCCAGGCAGTCTTGATTCACCAACCGACGCCAACTTCGAAGTGAGAGTTTTCATCTCTCTCGACCGTCATCGCTTGGTCTCCCCTCCTCTTCCAACAGCACCCACAACGCGCAAACAATGCACGTCGCGGAAGTCAGTGTGCTGGCATACGCAACACGTCGCCCAACCATCGGAAATTGGTGAGTGATATAGTGGTGCTGAGCGGTTCACTCGTTCTTCCTGCACCAAATACGCGACGCCGAACACGCTCATTGCTCACACAGTGCTCCCACCAGACATGAGCTAAGCTGCGAAGGCAGCGATGATCGAATATGACGAGCATCTTAATGTCTGTCGACCTGATGGGCCAGGTTTCACAACCATATAGGAGAGTTGAACGGACGGCTGCGTTATAAACTCCGCCCTTCAGAGGGAGAGTAATCTCGCTTCTGCGCCACAGGTGGAGGAGATTGGCAAAAGCACCTCAAGCTTTTGCCATACGGTTCGTAACCTCATCTTCAATCCCACGGGTTCTGTTTCAATCCCACGGGTGCTGTCCAATCCCAAGGGTGTTTCTTCAATCCCACGAGTGCATCGCACCACGGTAAGGTCCAGCCTCATTGCGATGGGCTTTGCTTATCATTAACACATGAAATGCTAGTTTAACTACCTATGGAATACACAGGGGGAAGATGATGTTTTACCGTTACATCACTAATCTTTTACCGGTTTACTCTGGTTTGAAAATCTATCATCTTATTCTGCAAACTATTTACTTTAAACATACCGAAAGGTGGTTTCATCCTACGGTTGAATTGTCTAATTTCTCCACTCGACTAAATCAAATGTAGAAATGCATCAGATTTAGGCTCAGTCAGACAGCCATCACACACCCATAAAAGCTCTGTACGACCGTCTCATCTTTGCTGGAATCATCAGCAGTTCGCATTTCTGTGGGGCTCCAACCCGTAACTCGACTATTGTCAGTCCGTAGTGGAGACCACGGAGCTACCGCGGACGGTAAAGACCATCAGAGCTAAGTTGCTAAACGTGCTATGGCATTAGTCACTATCCACTGGCTTTCACATTACTGCTGTACAGCGGACAGGGTAGCCCCCTCATCAAAGTTTAATGAATTTCTGCTTGTACCAATCGACTCAGTAGACAATTTGAACGATTTGGTACACGGTCAAAAAGTTTCGCATTCTCGACCCATCAATGCAGGTGATTATTGGTGAAAGAGTCAAATTACAACTCCAAATGTGGTACATATGAAAGAATATAGGGAAAACAAGTCGTTGAATCTGCTACTTTCGATGCCACTAATCGGCACTCAAACAAGCGAGCAATAACAGTATAATGTTATTAAACAATACAGCAGTGAACGGAAAAGTAATAATAAAGCCTGAAAGTATGGCTGCATCGTTGCTAATGTGAAGTTAAGTGTGATATCTCATGAACTCGTTACACAGAGAAATATTGTATCAGTTCTTATCAGGCGTCAGCTCTTCTGATAGACTCATCAGCACCATATGCTTGTGCTGGTCGGGTCAAGCTTGTTTAATTAAGAGAGCACGTGTGCGTGGGCCGATTGGGTGCTTAAGTTCCCTTCTGCCGCTGCTCTTGATCAGTGTGAATGATCTCTGGGCTCTCGTTGTAACACTTAGAACCACAGCTAGCACAGTAAACCTGCTCTTGTAGTTCAACTTACATTCGACTTATCGCAACGGCTACGGCGGTCATAATGAGGCATTTTCTAAGCCCACTGTGGTAACATTGTAGCAAAATTTATGAGTCATAGTCGTCACTGGCCATAGGTTGGTGTCAGTTTTGGACCAATTGTTCCGGACGTAAGAGTTGTTGTCTTTCAGTACGCCATTCCTTGGCTTGAATATTAAAATTCGATGATCTTGGGTTACACTTTTAATAATGCACAGTCGTTTATTTCTACATTGCGCTCTAGCCTCATTACAATGCTGAAGAGGGACTTGCTCTGGAAGCACGAGTCCATCGACTGACAGAGGAACTTGTAGACGCGCAACTTCATATTCGGCAGCTGGAGAATCAGCTATCCCATGAGCCACAGTTGAGGGACCATTCTACAAGGATGCATCAGGCGCTGGTGAATGAAGAATTTCAGCTCTTCAGGTGAGTAATGTATTAACGTGGCACTAGGTTACACGATCAGACAATCGAGTTGAAACAGTGCTTTTCCCGATGGGACTTGATCACGTGAGATCGATCTTACAATATCTTGCTCTATTGGAAAGATAATGGGTTGCATGTATATGATTGGGGTGCATGTACGGAATGACTACATCTCAAAACCCAAGCATTCTGATGTGATTGCTGGAACCATAATAAGACATATTTTTAATATTAACTAAGTCTTCCCTGCTTCTTATATGCTTCCGAGTCAACTTAGACACATGCGTTCTTCCTCTCCCGTCTCAGGGATTCCCTGGCATCCATACTCTCCTCGCCCTACCATCTGTGTGATTCCACACCGGCGGCCATCAAAGACCAAACTCGACGTATCGTAGCTGAGTGCAAAGAACAAAAAGAGGTAAGCAATACCTACATGGGGACCATTTGCTCCGAGATTCGTGTTCGCTCTAATAACTGCGGTTGGGTTCCAGGATTGCATATCTGAAACGCAACCCACTTCTATTAGACATCAAACAGGTCTGGTCAAATTCCATGACCATGCTGGCAGTGGAACGTGTCAAGAGTCCATGATGCAGATTGTCTTGAAAAGAATGGATTGTGAGCCCATATGAGTGCAACCATTACAGCTGAAAATGAAACGGTTGTGTACCTGTAGACGGAAGCTTAGAATCGATGGGCGGAGAGGGCCAATGACAATTATGAATTCCTTCACCAAAGCGCCTATCACCTCACAGCCTTATATATCAGCTCCAGTAGCCACTAAGTGTTCGAGACTTTCGGTTTTTAATATTTTCTTGGGACTTATCGCAGTAAGATTAAACCAGAAGGTTTCTATGTGTCCCGGAAACACTTGACTTTCGGTTCGTGGCAATCGAAGTCCACGCGGTGATCTCAAATGAGGATACTAATCACGTATGCAATCTCTTGCTGAAACTCTGCCATAACACGAAGCTCAGAGGTAAATGCTCGAAGCCGGGTGAACAATACAGTCTTCAGGCGTGTCAACCTTATTCTTCTCTTCCGGTACTCCCGCAAACTCAGTGGTCTCATCTCCCAACTTGGATATCCCCAAAACCGATTGAATCAAACACTGGCCCCCATTAACTTGTACGTAATCCGTGCCCTAATACGGAATTTAAGTGTCAAATGGACATGAGGAGGAGGTACTTGAGTGAGCGCACTTGTCTTCATTTTTCTCACGGAATACGTCGGCTGTAAATGCCTCCATGCCGTCTTGTATGCTTTCAAGCAATTCAAATTTTGCACTACCGTTATGCAGCAGCGCATTTGCTCCATAGAAGCTTATACAGTCCACTCACATATTTTTGATATTGTAGTTTTCATCCATGCCATTCCAGGAGACTTATTAATCGACCGCTTTATTTCCGTAACAAATAATTGTTTGAAGTCGTCAACCGTGAACATTGCCCACTGGTAGTAGTGTGTTCGAATCCATGAGTATTCCGTTTTTCGGTTTCCACTTCAATCCCTAAATCAAGCGTGGTAGAAACCTGCACAATTGTGACTCACTTGCATCGGGCGGACCTGATGCTAGTGTAGGAGACACGAACAGGTCGCTTGTCATTACTTCCTCTAATCGCGTATGGGTTTGGCATCAGGTTGCGCACAAGATAAACTTCGGATGTTGTCCGCTCGAAACACTACACTACAGCCGGTCGCGCGATTGTATTTTTTATCACCTATAGAACAATGACTTATGATGAATAAAAGTAGCCTAAGCTTAACATGTCACTTGGGTTGGTGATGTTAAAACTTGGAAATTCGGAGACTACGCAAGTGGACAAAAGAAAACGTTCGTCGTTGAAGCGACAAGGCATCATATTAACATCTGGGTCATTAAAAACGGAAAATCAATTTATTATGCTAAATACTAATCGTACGTAACAGTCAGATGGCTCACCGACTTTCGCCGAATTACGCACGTCACTTTGGCTTAGAATTCTATGGAGTCGGGATACGTTCTTGTTTTTGTTCACAAAACAAAGTGCTAGAAGCTGAGCCTCCCATCCAAGCGTGTCTTCTTTTGAAAATAGTTGAGGTACGGTCACAAATAACTGAGTTTTAAAGAGCATCCCAGGATTGACAAACCAGGAGGGAAAATTGAATTCGTCCATAATCTAGTCTATGTACTAGACTAATGTATTAAGGGTTTAAATATGCGAAATCCTTTCAGATTAATATTCGGATTGGGTTTCATAAGTTGACGGCCTACGTGACTGGGACCTTTCCGCATTTAAAATACTAATATGATGTCTTCGCGTAGTCGCCGGTGACGTCCACTAAGCGCTCCGAGTTTCTTCAGCCACCGCTGATACGGTGGGGGGGGGGGGACGAACCCTCGTCATTTTTCGTTTCCCTACCTTCTGTTAGCTGTAGCGTTGCAAAATCACGTTTTATCCAAGCTTAGCGTTCCTAGACGCAAGGAACGCATGTCGGCATTGAGCGTCAGAGGGTAGATGGATGAATCCAAACTCCTGAGTGCATTCCACAAGAGATCTGATTGCCTGTTTTGTAGTAGACTTAGGCTGTCCGTAACAACCGAGGTCGTAGTACAAAAGCACATTGAGGCCATGTTCCTGCTGGTGCGGATCAAAGGGGTCGCGTTACACGACGACGCACGCGAGACTTTGGCAAAGTACCCGAAGTGCTTCGAACGCGATGTTTATTAGGTGAATGACACAAAATGTCCCGTAACTTTGTTATGCTGCCGCATGTAGGGATGGTTGAAGGGTCCTTTGAGGGTCCTCAGCTTCTTCTACAGTATGTGACCAAAATTATCTTCGAAAAGCTCTGCAGTGATGTTATTTCACAAACAGAACTCGACGAAGAATATGCCGAAACTGAGAACGGGAGTAACGGTATGATCCACACAAGTTAGATCCAAGAGATGGAACGCAAGAAGTAGCGCTCGTCTAACTGGTTCGAACGAGCACATCCACAAGAATATGTGTGGAGAACTGGAATGGCCACAGCGAGTGAAGCGAGAGGCGAGATAAACTGCTGCCGTACGACAATGTACCTTATTCTTGTGCAGCGGGGGCCGGCCAGGGTGTGCGCACGCCCATAACTACTCCTCCCTAGGCTCATAAACGAGGACTTGGCCGTGTTTACCGGTAGGTCAATTTATGCAGACCACTGGGATAGGCGGTCGAGGTCTTGCTGAAGGACGTTACAGTAGCCGGGAGAATCAATAATCCTCCAAATCTTCAGTTCATCTGCAAATAATACGCAGGACGATCGAAGAAGATGATGTACATCGTTGATGTGGATGAGAAATAAAATGGGTCACGGTACCATGCTTTGGGGTAAGCCGTTAGTGGACGATTACCATAGGGTTAGGTGGTCATCTACCTGATCCCGCATCGTCTCCCAATAAGGAAGTCACTGATCCACCGGTGCAATGCGCCACCAGCACCATACATCCACAGCTTGTGGAGCAGGTCCACACGCTTCATTTGATCGGAAGCTCCACTGAAATCCAGGTAGATAACATCCACTGACTTCTCCCGATTCAACGCTTGCAACCATTCCAGCCGCGTCAACAGCAGGTTGGTGCTGCACGAGCGGCCCTTCATAAGGTTAGGAGGTCTTTCAACTCCAGCAGCTGGAGAAGACCCTTTTTCACAATCTTCTCGAGCATCTGCACCAAAACAGAGGTGAGACAAATCGGCCGTTAATTGTTCACATTGCATGGGTCACCACCATTCGGAATCGGCTTCATTACCGAGCATTTCCAGTGGCTCAGCAATGCACCCTCGGACAGCGATCTGTTGCACAGATCCGTTACCGCAGAGGAGACGATGGCCGATATGGACTTCAAAATTAGCGCGTGAAGTCCATCGGAACCGGCAGGTTTCGCACTGTCAAAACTGGCGAGTAAACTGCGGACATCTTCTACACCGCAATCAAGGCCTGCGAATTCAGAAGAGGCTTCATACGTCGAGCTCGGCATTTGCGTATGTCCACTTGTACATACGGAAGCGAAGTGCCCCGCCAATGCGGACGCACGTTCAGTGCTGGAGGTCAGGCTGTTCATCAGTGCTCTCTAACACAGTTACCGCACTTGCGGGCCTCAAGAGTCGCTTAACCTAAGCCAAAATCTTCTTGGGTTCCGTCTTCACTGAGGTTGCAAGCCCTTCTTCGAACTGCTGACGTTTATGCGCTGTCGCATAGATTATGCTGCCTTGAACTTGAGTACGCCCTGAGTATAGGTACATTTACCATCAAACGGATAAAGATTAGGGTATCCAATCAGTTTCAAGGATATACGTAGGTTTTCCAACGTTTAAGAGGTGACTGGACGAGTTACAAGCGAATCAATAACCAGATCTAATCAAAAAGTGATAGATTACACGAAATAAGTGACACGACATTGAGGAATTTCGCTGATGCTCCTGCCTCGCTTAGCACAGGAAAGTTCCCACGCATGCTCGTGTATAGCACTAAATGATGAATTGCGCCATATCGCAGTAAGCAAACATTCATGGCGTTCTTCCATCGCAACCGAACTGATCCTTAATGGCCTGGGTATCTAAATAATTCATTGATCTGGTGTGAGTGGTGTTTCTTACAACTGCAGCGTCACTCATACTAGATTGGTCAGCATTTAGATGCCAGACAAACTCAAACTCGTCTGGGTTGCGAGTTGGAGTGAAGGTGACTCGTTATACGCTAAAACGGATTCCTCTCAGCTTACTGCCAAATTTCTGTTGCTTTGACGGAAAAATTTAAACATTCTCCTGTCTTGGCCTTGGCAACCTGACATGACCCTGCAACGTAGTGCAATAAACTCTCACTCAAGCAATTTATTGTTTCGCTGGTTATCGCCGAGCGTAATTAACGGTGCTGCTCTCAGTTCGGCCGACACTCGCTACCGCAAGTACAGTGAGAAGGGTGAATGATGAGATGGTAACCTGAGCGTCTGGTCTGTCAAAGTTGGATTTAAACAGCATCTTCTTACCTTAGGGCAAAATCATAAGTTCAGAAGCGCAATCAAATCCTTTTATGGATCGACAGAGACGGTATCCGAATTTCCTGTCATTTTTGTCGGTTACCGTCCCCGTCAATCCATGAAAAGATACTATTACGCCGCTGAACTAGTACTTTCGCACAAAGGTAAGAAGTTGTTGTTTAAATCCAAACTGGACCGGCCAAACTCTCGAGTTACCGCCTCAATCTCCTATTATTCTCACTTTACTTGCAGTAGCGAGTACGTCAGTCAAACTGAAAGGGATTTCAGAGCATAGTCCGAGAAATCTGATCGCGAATGGTCCGAAGCTGCCTGACAGTTCGATCGGTTGACACTCGTGAATAATTTAGTATAATCAACCGACAGAGCGCTTCCCGCCTGCTTCATTCCTCTGAAGCATGGTAATTAGGCGGTTAAAACCAACATTGTGTGAACAAACCGAGTTTGTCGTCAGTCTCGCCCAGTCTTGGTGAGGCTGGTGGCCACCTTCCTCTAAGCGGAATGCCGGCCATTATAAGATGAACTTTGACCGTTTTCGATTCAACAATGACGTTACAGCTTGAATGTCTCTGGAGCCAACCTAACTATTCCACTAATTGTATGTAAACATCTGACCAGAATACGCGAAATAGTTAACCCCAGATTACCCTGTCGAAATATTGTTCCTTCTTGCCATTCTGAATTTGGTGAAGGGAAGTCTTGGATGAAGTAAAGAAAGTTACCTTGTATGATTAAAAATGTTCACAGTTGCCAGAAAGATTTTGCTGCAAATCGTCACTATGTGGATTAAAAACATGTTGTTGAGAGATAAAACAACCAAATCGCCGCTCGGGTTGGTCGATTTCAAGAGTAGGTTTACAATATGTGCTTACCGAGCTCCACCTACCGCGCAGGTGTGCTGGTTGTAATTGGCTCGATCTTACACAAATATGCTGCTTATAAGCCACATAATGTAATTCTTTTGCGGCACAATAGCCGGCTGTTAGCTCTCCGGAACGATATCCATCTGTTACTGGTGACTCAGCTGGCGTGCCTCTGTTGCATGTCTTGTTTTCTTTTATTGCGGCACAATGGCTAAATGGCTTTCCAACACTTGCTAACTTGTAATGATGGTACTTATTATTATATTCCACTAAGGTTTACGAGTCGCTGAGGATCATCTTTCATTCCATCCAATCTAACAATCATGATGCTGACCAGCTGATTAGTTAATAATAGACTGCTTTCTCACTTACTGTGTCGTAACATGAAGCTTTTTGTCCCTCGGACACAGATATGCGCGGACCTTGAGGCTCGAATCGCCGAGCTCTCCACCCGACTGAGTGCAAGCAAGATGAGAGACGATGTGACAGAACATCAACGAGGACAAGTAGAGCGAGAGAATCGTGAATTAAGAGAACAAGTCAGGCAGTTGGAACTACAACTCACAAACTCCCAGGTGGTTCGCGATGAACAACGTGCGGACAAGGAACGGGTTAGTCCGAGATCCGACATTTATGGTCTTTGACACATTTCGTAGACCCCAATGTGCGAATAAACAAATTCGTGAAGAATATGTTGTATGTGACGGAAATCGAGTGAATAAATATCGATCTGTAGCATGGAGTTCGTCTCTTATATATATATATATATATATATATATATATATATATATATATATATATAACGCGAGAGAGATGAACCAATCAAGCACGACGCCAATAAATATTTAATGTTACAGTGGCTGCTGCCCATTCTATTGCCATTCCATGCAGACATCATGAGGATGCTAAGTACTTGTACAGTCAGTTAACGATGACTGCTTTGGGCGGAGCATCCGATAAACGACTGGCGCCAGCGCGCATTCAGCTAGGACGCAGTGGGAAATGCGGTCGGCTTCTGTGACAACGAAGATCCGAGCATTCCTCAACCAGCAGAAGTTGGCTTGCGGGATTGGACCCCACGAAACGAAGATTTTACATTACTTACGAGTAGCAGGATTTTAGTTGTAGTTCTGATAGGGCTTTCGTCCCAATAGTTCACAAGCTATATAGCGGAGCCTAGTCCGGAGAAACGCCAGACGCATTTCACCCTATTGGGGCTCGTCAGTGGCGCGCATTCCCTCGGTCCTCTAAGGAGGATCGAACCCATGACCGCTAGAGGCAGATGCCAACTAGCCAGCAGCTTAAGCCATTGAGCCATGGGGAACGTTGGCTGGACTACATAATTTACAAACTAAGTGGCATATACCACCACCTATCTACCACTGTCACTGGTTAGCCTGCGAGCTGATGACGTCCTCTCACTAGACGCTATATCCATAGTATTTGAATGGGAGATTTGTTTTCGAACCACACAACCGTGAAGCAACACAAATGACTTGCTCTATAAATACTATGTCATTTTGTAGTTAACTGACTTTAATCACCATTCTATGATTGTACCGTTTGTGGAAGGCGGCGTAGTGTAGATAGGTTTCTTGATAAACAGGACACATTCCTTCTCAGTAGCTTCATATATATTGTACAGGATGTATTTAACCAGTTCATGCGGCGATATAGTTCGAAAAAGTACGTTATTTCCGTACCCCATGACAAATTTTATAGGTGTATGTTGTTAAGTATTAGGCCAATTTGTCGCGTTACGTGTCGCATCGAATCTTTGAAGGCAAGTTGCGGTCAGTGTGCTTTACTGTTCGGTAAGGAAAGAAAACAGAACTGTAAAAACATGTTATTCACAGGTAGAAGAATTTTATTTGAAACCAAAAGCAAACCGTTCAACTCGACTTAAAAAAAGCAGCAGACATTAAGAACTTGTAGATGAATGCGCTTTCATTTTGACCAATAACCGTTAAAATGCTGCTAGATTAATTTGGCATTATTGTTTTAAGCTTTGTGCTCTCATTGACATTGATGATCCAATATTGTGACCTATCGGCTATGTTTTCACTACAAGGCTTTTGGATGTAAAGTTGGAGAATCCTTGTCTGACCTAATTCAAGCCAACTACCATGTATCGAGTGATTCGTTTACAAAGTCTCACAACGGTTATTGTCTGGGATTTTTAACTCCTGGTTAACGATATTGTGGTATAGCCAGTGATCTGAGACTGAGACTGAGACTGTTTTTAAGAGCAAGTAGAATAATTCCTGTACAACTCTATCGAATTATGAAAAACCAAAAACATTTAGTTGTGAATCGTCAGCGGTTGTGTCTGATCACTTAATCGTTTGTCCTTGTTCGGTTAGGAATATGTATTCGTGTCATTATTTCCGGGCATACGATGTGTTCTTTCGGCATTGTATATGCCTCGTTTCACAAAAGCACAGGTTTCCGAAATAATCGTTGGTACGTGTTTTAAAACACTTCACAGAATTGGCCTCTATTAATCCTTCTGGTAGTGTATTCCATAAGTTTGCGATTCTTCATTCCATACAAAGCTGATGTGATACTTTGTTCATGCTGGGGACCTTGAGTTTGTAGCAGTGTCCTCGGGTGTTACAGGGTTCTCGCAGGTGAAATATTGGCTGCAGTATGGGGAAGTGATTTAAGTGCAGTACTCGGTGGGTCATAATAAGGTCAATTCTTATTCGGTGGTAGCATAGTGTGCAGAGTCCGAGTCTTTCACAATGTTGTTCATACGGAAGCATTCATAAACTCGGTATCATTCTAGCTGCGATATGCTGTATTTTCTCCGGCTTTTCAGTTTCTCACTGGGTTATCGGATGGTAAGCTGGGGCACCGTATTCAAGTATTGGTCTATTGAGCAAGGTGAATAGTTGAGGGACAGTTTCTTCGGATCATGTGGAGAAAATGCGTCTTGATGCCCAGAGCATCCGAAGTCCCGCACGGTACAATTACTCTGTATTTTCTAGTAGTCTCATTTTATGTCGCGAGAGCACACCTAAGTCTGTGGACAGATGTGTTAGGGTGGATCAAGTGGCCGTCCAAGGTGTATGATCGAATGGCTGGACGTCTGGTGACACTGATGAACTCCGACTTCCTTGCGTGAAAAGGGAGTTGCATTTCAGTAGACCGCGTTGACAGTCACTCTAAATCATGTTGGAGGCGAGCGCAGTCGTCCTGGTTCTCAATGATCCTCCAGCTTTTCAAATCATCTGCAATCAGGGCACATGGTGACTGGAGTTGCTACGGAAGATCGTTGATAAGAATAAGAAATAATACTGGTTCAAGTACAGTTCTTTGAGGGACGCCGCTGATCGATGGGAAGCAGTCTGTCAGGCATTCATTGACCTGTGTTCTAAAGGTTCGTCCCACAATAAACTCGTGTAACCACTGAAGTAACGTGCCACCCGATTCTGTATGTCCTCAGTTTACGAAGGAGTACTTCGTGGTTCACTCTGTCGAATGCCTTACTAAATTCGACGTACACCACGTAAACATGCTTCTGTTCATTGAGAGCTCGTACCCACTGGTGGTTTGCGTACATCAAGTTGGTGATGCAGGATCGACCTTTCGTAAAGCTGTGCTGAGCTGGCGTCAATACGTCCATCGATTCGAAGAACGGCAGCAGACATTTTTTCACAACCTTCTCGAGAACATTGGATAATATCGAAGTCAAACAGATCGGTCTATAGTTCTGTAGTTTACTGGGATCACCACCATTGGTAAGCGGTCTAACTATCGGGCATTTCCAGTCGTTGGGGACAGATCCTTCAGAGAGTGGTTTATTGAATAGATTTGTCACGGCTGGTGAGATGATAATCGATAAGGACTTGAGTATTAGTGGGTGAAGTCCGTTTGGTCCGGGGGCTTTGCACCATCGAGGTTGACGAGTAGCTGATACACTTCGACTGTACCACATTAATGTCTCAATGACCCCGAAGCTCTTCAGAATGCTGACGTAGATATATTTTAAAAGAATAATCTAGACTAGCAAGTCATTTAATGTCGATAATCCTCAATTTGTTTAGCAACCTCACTTGCACGCCCAAATTTGTCGGTTGGGACTGAGCAATTTATGTTCGTCTCTCAATGGATGCCACCTAATTGTGTTCGTATTTAATGCTTTCGGCTATTTGAGATAACCAGAGCCAACTACAAGATAGATTTACCAAAATAGCCCTTCCACGAGTTTATGTGTGCGTTTATGTAGAACATGCTAACAAAGCCCGACAACCGTGGAAAAGCGAGGACAGATGAGTGGGATGTGACTAGGGCCAAACAAGAAAACACAAAAATGGTTTGCGCCATCGTACTGACACGAAATATAGTCGGATTGTTAACTGAGCATTACAAACTGTTGATAAGTTACCTGCAGTAATAAGAGCAAAACGCTGTGCTTCTACAAAAGAATGCAAACAAGGACATGTACCCGAATTCGGGTGAATGTAACCCAAGTTTCGATAACACCTACAGACTGTTGTGTCAGCAAACAACCTGAGAGAATATAGGCAGATTGTTCGACCGTTTTTTCGCTTATGGATCTTCACCGGCTGAACACACTTGTTTACGATTTGGGGAAGCATATCTCTCAGGTATGTCCAAAGAAGTGGCCACAGGGTTGCTGGTTGCATGATGGACCAGCTCATCGAGTCTGTCAGACTCCCAAAGCCCTAGGATTGGCCGACAACCATGCTGGTTATTTCAAGCTAGCAGATAACTTGCCGGCAGTCACCGAGTGTGCCTCGACATCTGACATTTTAATGTCACATGTCTTCCATAGCAGCAACTGTATAGGAGCAGATCAAGTTTGGTCTCTGTATAAACTATGTATCAACGAACAGGTGGGCACCGTGTGGAGCGCTAGTTCATATGTTGCCATACAATGTACCAGGCACAAGCTCACATATTTGTTCCCATGCTCGAAGGTTACTCGTCATCATGCAGTCATCGGCGATCTTCAGTGCCTTGGGTTGGCTTCAAAGTAAACACTGGCACTTCCACCACCTCTGGATATAGATACCTGTTGAGTATTGGATGTAAACATTGCAAATATAAGCAAGTTAAACCTGCAAGTTGCTTACATGCTACGATTTCCGATGTCTAAAATTAAGCTCACCTTTGGACCGAGGAAACAAACTCTTAGGAATCCATCTTTGCTAACAGCACTTGACCATTTATTCTAAATGTTAGACAGTATACCACAACACGCACACAGACCACAACCTCCACAACAATGAAACTTGACATTGTATTCACAAAGTAAGTGGCAGATTTCATGCAGTTTGCTCGCGCGCCTAGTTTTATCAAATGAAATATCATCACCAATTTTCTGTTCACCAGCTGTTCTTCTACTTGTGCAAGCTGGCTACGAAAATGAAGATTGATCGTACGGTTGCCAGTCGAATGCCAATGGATGAGTTACAAGAGGCAATCTGTAGTGAGTCACGCACCTAAATGCACGGAAGTTGTGAGATGTGATTGGTGTGGTGTGGAACACAATCATATATATATATATATATATATATATATATATATATATATATATATATATATATATATATATATATATATACCTAGCTTCCGATATGAGGGATTTCGTCGTCTATACTGGTGCTTCAGGCTTTGAATCGAAACTGGGTGGTCTGCATTGTACAGATGATATCACCTTGTTGCTTTACAATCTCGGGGTGGTCTAGTAAGCTATGTGTACACTGACTCATTTGTGTCCCAAATTAGTGTCACAGCGTCAATTTCTAATGGCGAGCACTTTGTTACTTGACGACAAGAAGTTGACGATTTTGATAGCTGGGTGATCAGCTAGTTTATTGACTATTGCGCAGAATGTGAAAAATAGGATTGCATTCCTAAGGATGCAACATGTGTGAAACTTTCAGAGTTGTTCTATTGGTCTGAAAAGCCACGTTTGCAAAATTACAGGAAGGACCATCTGCCCCTATGGGCGAGGAACTCAGACTCTTTAGTTGCATGATACAAGGTGTAAAAAAGTCCCCGCTCCCCATTGTCTGCGGAGGAATGCTAAGGTCTCGTGGTAACAACGGGTTTGCATTGAAAAGGTGCGAATACGGTAACTAGCAGGATGTGATCAGGCTATTACCCGAGGCGAAGAATGACGTTAAATGGGCTTCGTTGGCATAGGTAATTACTATATATGTCCGCTTACTGAGCAGCAAGAACAGCTTTAGTTTTCTTGGTGTCCCTTGGGAAGTACGTGGAGTAACGTGGGGAGAATTGTGTTGGAGTATAGAAATAGCATCTTACCTGACGACCAAACTATATTATTTTGTTATGTCTCGTCTTCCAGACTGCGATCCACGCTACCCACTTAGTGGTTCTCCGTGCACCACGGGTGATGGCTAGCAAGTTGCAACAGTGACCTGATTTCGGTAGTCTCCAAACTACTCCATCTGTTAAAATGGCAGTCCACCTGTTTATGCCGACCAGCGAAAAACATCCCCAACTTTTTCTCCTATGAGTAATGTCCCCATCCATGAATCTGTCTGTTGCAGAACTCAGTCCTTCATGGACAAGCGTTTATTCGAAAAAGACAGCTCAGAGAAAATTACAGCCTGTTTAGCAAGCCAAACTCCTCGGTATAAATTGCAGGTTCAAGTCCATAACTAACGACCTTTCTGAGTCTATGAGGTTCCTCCTTTGCTTCAGTTAAACAAACGGTGAATCACTCACACGAATATCGGCCAATCAGAGCCCAGTAAATGAATCCGTCACGTCCGCCTCCCATTGGCTGTCTGGCTCGCTCGGCTGGTCCAGCTGCTCACTCTGATCTGATACTACCATCACAGTGTCCATGGCGACCACCTGTCCAAAGCGACCACATTTCGTTGGTCCCTTGTGTGGTCGTCTTAGAGAGGTTTTTACTGTACATGTGATACCGATTTGTTTGTGGTCTGCGGCAATGCGTGCTACAAAAACACTGCCTTACTAATGGCTCCTAATTTACGCACGATATTAGTTCACTGAAAACTTATGTTTCCGAGGTTTCCCTGATCAAGCATGTACATGTGAATTGGTTACTGTGTGCACAGTTTCACTAAACCGTGCACCGTCTACAGCCGTGGTTCCCCGAACCCCGGTCAGCGGACCGTTACCGGGCCGCGGATCAAAGGGTACCGGGCCGCCCGAGAAACATTAAATTATTTCATGTAATTTACTGTGGTTCATTTCTCTCAGGATTGTGCAATTTCCAATGGACGAGAGGTTAACCGGGAGCTAAGGGCCCACGAGCAGTAGTGGCGTTGAAGTTTTGGTAGAGAGGTATCCATATTTTTCTCAGTTCACCGGTACATTCTCGTGTGTAACAGTGGTTGGTGTACGTGTGTATTGTGTTTCATTTATGCCCTTTTTCGTCTACAGTTACTATCTGAGTTTAAGGTTTTATTCTCCAGCTTACATGTTGATCACTTGCGCACTCAAAATTAACCCATAAAGTAGCAAATCTGAGTACGAAACAGACTTCGTTAGAAAGTTGCCTTGGGAAAGTGAAGAGACAAAAGAATTGCCTTCAACATCAAAGAAACATAAAACTTTTACCAGACAATACCATGAGTGCTATTTGAAATATGGATTTATCGAGATAGGTGATCACCACACACCAACCCCCCTCTGCATATAGTTTGCGAAGATCGGCTCTCTAATGAGGCAATAAAACTATCAAAACTGCTTCCCCACTTGAACGCCAAGCACCGTGGGTTAAAACACCAACCGCTGGAGAATTTGGAAAGAAAATCGGGAACATGAAGGACGGATGACCTTTTTGTGGGCCACCACATCATTAAAGGAGCATGCACCGTGGGCATCATATTTAGTGGTTAACAGTATTGTTAAGGCTGAAAAAACCATTCACTATCGCTTACGAATTGATCATGCCCTCTGCTAAAGACATTTGCCGTGAACTTCTTGGAGCGACCGCTGTTAAAATATAGCACATGTGACTTTGTTGGCCAACACTGTGACTAAGCGAACTGAGGAAATATCCGATGACATTAAGACACAAGTGTTGGAGAGGATTAATACATCACCATGGGACACACTCCAGTTAACGAAGCTACAAATATCGACAACAAGGCAATACTAGTTGTTTATGTGCGTTGTCTGTATCAGGATGATGTACATGAGGATTCGTTATGTGCACCAGCTTTGCCAACCAACACCACCGGAGCAGAACTGTTCAATGTACAATAAAACTATAATGGTCCTTTTGTGTCAGCATATGCACAGACGGAACCCCTGTCATGACCGGACTACTGACCGGTTTAATTGCTTGGATTAAGGTTGCACCTGAGAGTGAATCTACGCATGGTATCATCCACAAAAGATGCTAGCAAACCGAAAATTGTCACCGGAATTTAACGACGTATTGAATGCTGTCGTTGAAGTCACTGACCACATTAGAGCACACGCCCTTAACTCACTCCCGTTTGAGCAGCTTTGTGACGAGATGGACGCATGTCTGTGCTAGGGAGCCTACGGTGCGCTGAGGCTGGCGGTTGCTACATCCTGACACATATGGTCTACCCATTGCTGCTATTGTTGTGTCATGAGCTCTATTCTGGAAGCCTCCTCGAGGCGACCGCTGGGTGGGAGTTGGCTTACGACCTTCTCACTGCTAAGATTCAGGACACCGATCCGCATGGGTTAATGAACTGACCATGTGTTAGACCCGCTGCCTTTCGGGTATACCTTTAATCGAAGGCTTTGGCTGAGAACCCGAATCATTATCCTGTTAGGTGTGGGCGCGCTGCCAGTATCCTAATCCAAACCCCTTCCTCTTCGGAGGTTAGGAGGTGGTCGATGTCCCTCTTCCCGTAAAACCTAACCATAGGAGACAACAGGTCCAGAGGTTATAAGCATCGCTGGATTTGCGGGGAGCATGAGCGCCACACATATTCTCTGACGGTAAGAGTGCACCTCAAAGTGCTCAATGGTTTGCTACTGCCCACCTCAAGCCAGACAGCCCCTGGTCAACTTGTTGCAAACCCGCCAAAACCCTCCTGCGTCTAACTGTGGTCGCAGGTGCGTACCCTACCACGGTCACAAAACATACATGAATCGTTCTAGAACCTCAGAAGCTGCGTATGACGTCCGTCAAGCAGATCTTAACCTGTCTCTGCAATCACATTCCCGAGCTGCATCTGCTTTCTACCGCCTTGTAGTTAGGCTTTTGAGGCAAAGGCTCCGGGCGGTGTCCCAAAAGTTAACCTCCGAAGTACAACCGCCACTTCCCGTACAATTGCTCACCAATGCAATCGTATGCCTGCGCGCAAAGCACTCTGCATCGGGTGCTGAGACGTGCGCACACTACGGGACCGCAACTCGAGTGAGAGCCCTGACCGACGCACTGCACTAGTCGTGCTGGAGCTGGCGCTCCACAACATCGAGATTGCAGTACTCAGTGAGATCCAGCTCGCTGAGCAAAGTAACTTGCATGAAGCCGGTGCTTTCTATACGTTCTACTGGGTGGGAACGCCAACTCCGCACCACGTGAACATGGGGTAGGGTTTGCAATATTCAATCACCTAAATGACCCGCTCGTGGTTGAAACAACTGGCATCAGCGCGTGACTGACGACTGCTCGCCTACGACTCGGAAGAGGTAAGTTTGCCACTTTTCTAAGCACGTATGGTCCGACCATGCGTTATCCTGATGACACGCGTGGTGAATTCTACACTCCGTGATACGGTCTGTGCCGAGGAGCGACTGAGTATTTCTGCTGGGTGATTTCAACGCGCGCGTTGAGGGTTTTGCAGCGGTGTGTACAGATGTTATCGTTCCGCTTGGTATTGGCTCAACGAATGCGAACGGTGACAGGCTGCTCTCACTGTGTGCCACTCACGGCCAGGCGATCACGAACACTCGGGTTGCACTGAGTGCCTATCATATAGTCTCTTGAGCGCACCCATGGAATAGTCATGCTAACTTGCTCGACTATGTCGTTGTTCGTCGGCTTGATATGCATGAAGTGCGCATGACAAGTGTAAAGCGCGGAGCTGACTGTGGCACTGATCACAAATCGGGTGCAGACCAAGCTGTACATATCATTTTGTAAATCAATGTATTGCACTCCCTCCGTGAAGCGGCGTAAATTTAACGTTCTCTCCCTCGGTACTGTGGAGAAACGTGTTGAGCTGGAGAAGGCGATGGCTGCACGCCTGTGTGATGTGGACTACATAGCCACAGTGGGCTACCTGTGGCACCAAATTCGCGACCAGGTGACAGCTGCTGCTTAGGAGACCATCGGGGGCGCAAACTGTAAGCGGCCTGATTGGTTTGATGAGAACAATGCGACCATTGACGCATTGGTGTGTGAGAAGAATGCAGCATTTGCTGCACATGTGGCCGACTCCAGTGACTTGAGGAGGAAGAGTGCGTTTCGCAAACTTCGACGGCGCCTGACCCGAGAGCTCCGTCGCATAAAAAATGTATGGTGGATGGAGAAGGCGCAGCAGATGGAATGCTACGCCGAACGCCGCCAACGCAAGGGATTCTTTGACTCCTTGAAAGCGATGTCTGGACTGAGGTTGGAACCGCTGAAGACGCTAATCGATGGTAGTTCATGCGCTACCTGCCCACAGACAGCAGACATAATGCCGATCTGGCAAAAAACTTGACTGTCTCTTGAACAGCTGTTCAGAGATTGACTGGCCTACTTTGAACATCCTGAAGTAGTACGAGGTGGAGGTGAGTTTGGCTGACAGGCCAACACTGGATGGAACGCAGAGAGCACTTGCTCAGCTGAGAAACGGCAAGTGTGCAGGTGCCGCGGGATTCCGCCCAAAGTATTGAAACACGGCGGATCCACGTTGGTGACTGCGTTGCACCATTTGGTGCAACTCGTTTGGATTGTGGAGGAGATGCTTCTTGAGCTGGAGGATTTCCTTGTGCTATCACTGTAGAAGGGTAAAGGAAACAACCATTATTGTACAAATTATCCTGGCGTCAACTTGCTGAGTTGTGTGGGCAAGGTGCTTGGCCGAATCCTGCTCAAGCGCATCAGCATTCAGGTTGCGGAGCTTATCTTGGTGGCAGAGCAGTGTGGATTCCGTTCGTGTGGCAACACTATAGCTATGGCGTTTGGGGTTCGTGAGTTGCAGGGAAAGTGTAGAGAACGACATCAGCCGTTGTACTCGCTGTTTGTTGATTTCACCAAAGCACTTAATACGGTAAACCGCGTGGCATTGTGTTGGGTAAGTTTGGTTGTCCGAGTAAGTTTTGTAAGGTCTAGTAGAATGGCTGCACAGTGGTATGCGGGCGAGGGTGCAGCTGAGTGGATCGACCTCAGAGAACTATGAAATTTTCTTTGCTGTAAAGCGAGGCTATGTCTTAGCTCCTACGCTGTTTATTATTTATCTTCATGCCATGGTGTCTTGTGCTTTTGGTGCGGCTCATGCTTACGGTGTTCGTGTGGAGCACCGTATTGACGCTCTCTTGATGAACATTCGTCGTTTTTGTACGATAGCCCTAGGCTGTGAGCCAGTTATCCGTATGTTGCTGTTTGCTGACGACTGTGCAATGTTTGCGCATAGCGCGGATGGGTTGCAGCACATGCTTAGTGCTCTGGATTTGACAGCGTCCAAATTCGGGCTTACCCCTAACACAAGCAAGACTGTTTGCCTTTTGCAGCCTTCACCCGGAACGGAGTCCTTGGGCCTGTCCCAAATCCAGTATGCCTACTAAGTGTTAGAACCCACTTCGAGATTTTCTCACCTTGGTAGCGTAATAACAATCGAGCAGCAGATGACGTGTAAGCTGCGTATCCGCATATCAAAATAGACTGCTGCTTTTGGCAAGCAGTAATGCAGTGGATGGAACAACCATCAGCTCATTGTTGGGACGGAGCTGCTGGTAAGTCTGTGGTGCTCTCCGTTCCTCTAAACGACAGTGAAAACCGGGCACTTTATCCGAAGGATGTCTGATATCTGGAGCGGTTCCATCAGCAGTGTCTGCACCGTATTATGCGCACTGGCTGGAATGACCGAGTTGCAGACACGGAGGTGCTCCGACGCAGTGGCATCCAGTGGACTGCATCATTCTATTGAAGCATCTGAGGTGGCTCGAGCATATCTGCCGTATTGGTTCGACCCGGATACCAAAACAGCTTCATTATGGCCAACTGAGTGCAGGTAAACCGCACGTTGTAAAACCGAAGTTACGTTACCAGGATATGAGCAAAGTGAGCCTATCACGTTCTAAGATTCTTTGCAGGTCATAGGAATCGAAGGCGGTTGATTGTCGTGCATGGCGCTGTCTGATCACGAAGGTAGTTGCCGAGATGCAAGAGAAAACCCTCGTGTCTGCAGAGATTTAGTAGTTTCGGAAGCTACAGGTGCCGATGGGCTGAACTCCATCGACTTCGAGCGCATGGTGCTGTAGCAAGTGCGGTTGCGAATGCATGAGTTAGGCAGGTTTTGTGAGCTATGTGCGAGGCCACTGGAGTCCAACATCGAAACGATGACGAGTCCTGCTGAGAACGTAGGCAGAATCGGCGCAGCGTTTGTAGGTACACTGCATTCGATTACCTAACCGTGTGCCTGAGTGCTGGGATTCTTTATTTCAGGTGGTGGGTTTGCCACCTTATCATAATGTTATTAGTTTACCTCATTTGTATGTGTACCTGTATAATCCATTAAATTGCACATTTCGATTAAACTAAAGGTGCTTAACTTCGCTTATATTTTCTTCTCACATATGCGTCTTGGTTCCTTTTTCTAACATCTTGGATGTATCACGGCTAGTTTGATACTCCAATTATTTCATGTGCTAATTTAGCGGCATATCCTTACGGTGTATTCAATCTGTTTTATTCGACATTTCCTTTCAAGTGATTGGCTGTTGTTTGACATCCCTGTTGTCCTACGCTTGATGTGTAAGTTGACAAGGTACCTACCTGTCTAACAACCACCACCTCGATTACTGGCTCAAGGAGACAGTTGGCCGTTGCTGGAGGGTACGGGTGCGAGGTCCTCGTCGTCGTGTTAAGTTCAAAGATTGATTCCACCCAGTGTGGAGCGAACTACGGTCCAGCCACCGCCTTGTGCGTGCTTGATTCCCTAAATACAGCGTGTTTGTGTTTATCTGTGAAGGAGTGTGGGCCGGTTCCGTTGATGAAACGTGGCTCCCATCCACATGCCTCCCGGTTTTATTCCTTCAGGTTTACACTGGATATGGGATATGTGATTGGAGCTGTGGGTGGTGCAGCGCAAGCCACCCATGGTCCCTCTGTAGGCGCAGGCGTCCCGTGGCTGGCCACAGTGACAGACAAGTCCGAATTCGGATGCCGCCAAGCAATTGCGTATGAATGCAGCTTGTGTTTGTGAATGTGTCGCAGTAGTTTTGACTGTTTGTAATCATCAGGAATGTGAGAATAAACGATTGATGTCCGTGGTTTGGATAGAATTTTCCGGACATCCACGGTGCAGTGACTTTATTTTGTGGCGAGTCACATCCGCCACGTAGCAGTGTTGATAAGCAGATATTTGTAGCTTTATATAGGGAGAATGCTTGCCAGGTGAAAACCCACTATGTCCTGGAACAGTGTCACCGAATCAGGCAGCTTATTGCCGAAGTATATTATTTTATCAGTTGTGCCCTGCGAAACCGTTGTTGACGAACCATTTCAATTAACAACTTTTGTTTGTTTATTGCACTGATTCCTTCGATACACACAGCCCGATTGGAACAAATAATGAGCGGAGAGTATCCTCTGCTCACTGATGCTCGTGCGAATGGTGACCGAGTGCGTGGCTTGACCCGAACAGTGCATCGTTTACAGGATCAGTTGTCGAGCAAAGAAATTCAACTTGGGATGTGGCGGGCGAAGACCACCAAATTGGAACAACAGGTGCTCAATCTGAGTCAACTGGAGAGTGAAATGCAAGCCGAGAAGGAGAACATGAAGCGCGCCACCGCAGCGAAAAGAAGAGTAGAGCTGGAAAATGGACAGTTGCGGGACGAAGTACATCACCTGAGAGCTGATCTGCTCGATCTTACGGATTCAAAGGTATTTATTAATTAGTAACCATCAACCAGATGATTTTGTGTGGCTCATTTCAGTTATGCGGCTGAGAGCAAATCGGTGCATTTCCATAAAGGAAAAATACATTTTTCACAAAACAAATGAATATCACAGGAGCATAGATCAGTATAATATCAAGTTCCTCGGTAGAGACGTTTGTATCAAATCTTGTTGATCAATCGAGACTATGTCGTGGAAATATGGTAGGTCCATTCGACAATAGCAGTGTCTAAGCACACGGTGCCACTCAGGATGCGCGGCATCCGCTGTGGTTAAGTAGCTGGCTGTGACAGAGCGTATATACTCATTAGCCACTGCCGTAAGCGTTTCCAAAATACAAAGGACAGGACTGACCCCCTGAATTACAACCTCCTTTGCTGGGCTTCCATCGTTCATGGGTTTAATCACGGACGCCTATGCATATGGTCGCGTATCTTAGCCTCACATGGGACAGATGGATTACGCAATGTTAGTGATTCCCGTAAGGAAATAACAGCCGTTTAGCCCTCTTCTAGACGTGTGATTGCGGTCTGGCTGAGTGTAAATGTAATGAATTGCATAGAGAATTCGATATAAACTCCATTTTTCCCTATTCTATGATAGCTTATGTCTTTGGGTGAGATAAATAGAAAAAGGTTCGACAAGGCAGGCAATGCAAATCCACGATAGAGCAAATACGAAAGTTGTTGCATAAGTTAAGATAATATTTGGAGGGTACAAATACAAAAAGTAACGGCATCAACCTGTGCGATATATATGGTTGGCGGCATCCGGTTTCGGAGTTGCCTGTCACTGTGGCAAGCCACAGGACGCCTGCGCCTACAGAGGGACCATGGGTGGCTTGCGCTGCACTACCCACAGCTCCAACCATACACCCCATATCCAGTGTAAACTCGAAGGAATAAGACCGGGAGGCATGCGGATGGGAGCCACGTTTCATCAACGGAGCCGGCCCACACTCCTTCACAGGCAAACACAAGTACGCTGTATTTGGGGAATCAACCGCACACAATGCGGTGGCTGGACCGTAGTCCGCTCCATACTGAGTGCTTGGAACCACTCTTCGAGCCTAATACGGCCACAAGGACCGTGCACCCTGTCCCCTCCAGCAACGACTAACTGTCTCCTGGAGGCAGTATGGACGAGGTAGTGGGTAATAGACAGGTAGGCACCTTATCAACATGCACATCAAGCGCAGCCACACCGGGGATATGAAACAACAACCAATCATTTGAGAGAGAGAGACAAGAAAATAACTCGATTAATGCACAAGGAAACGGTGACATAAACCTTAAGTTAATGAGCTTATGTAATAAGTTGTTTACAAACGAATCCTAGATAAGTTCGCGAAGTCAGAAAATATACTTTACGGAATAGCTCGAACACAAAATGCTATGGAAATCGACTACAATTGGCTTAAGCGAAGTGTGCAAGTTAATGGAATAGAGTACAGGTAGATATTTACATGGGAAAAAAAGCATTTAGGCAAAATTGAAAACCCACCACCTGAAATAAAGAGACTTAGCATGCAAGCACGCGGTTGGTAAATCGAATGCAGCGTGCCTACAAACGCTGCGCCGGTGCTGTCTACCTTCTCTGCAGGACCCGTCGTCGCTTCTGTAGTGGTCCCGAGTGGCCTCGCTCATGGCTCACTAGGAAGGGGGACAAATACCTTAAAGTAAAGAGCATCTGAAGTAAGTTGTTTACAGAAGAATGCGAGATAAGTTCAAGAGGTCAGAAGGCAAACTTTACGGAAATGCCATCAACACAAAAATGATTTCGGAAAGGACTAGAATTGGCTTAAGTGACGTGTGCAAGTGTATAGAAGAGAGTATAACTAGGCATTTATATGGGAAAGAAAAGCATTAGAGCAAAATTGAAAACCCACCACCTGAAATAAACAGAATTAGCACGCAAGCAAACGGTGACATAAATCTTAAATTAGTGAGCATATGAAATAAGTTGTTTACAAACGAATACGTTTTTACAAAAGAATACGAAGTAAGTTCACGAGGTCAGGAGGTTTATTGTACGGAAATGCTGAAAACACGAAAATGTTTTCGAAATAACTACAAGTGGCTTAAGCGACATGTGCAAGTGTATAGAAGAGAGTATAACTAGGCATTTATATGGGAAAGAAAAGCATTAGAGCAAAATTGAAAACCCACCACCTGAAATAAAGAGACTTAGCATGCAAGCACGCGGTTGGTAAATCGAATTCAGCGTGCCTACTAACGCTGCGCCGGTGCTGCCTATGTTCTCTGCAGAACCCGTCGTCGCTTCGGTAGTAGTCCCGAGTGGCCTCGCTCATGGCTAACTAGGCCTGCCTGACTCAGGCACTCACGACTGCATGTGCTACAGCACCATGCACTCGATGTCGATGAACTACAATCCATCAGTGCTTGCCGCTTCCGAACTTGCCTCTTCTTCTCTGCATGCGTGAGGTCTTTCTCTCGCACTTCAGCAACTGCCTTCGTGATGAGGTCGCGCCATACGCGCCGATCAACCGCTTTCGATTCCCATGACCTGCAATCAATATTAGAACGTGAGAGGCTCACTTTATTCATGTCCTGGTAACGTAACTTTGGTTTCCCCACATGCCGCTTCCCAATACTCAGTTGACCATAGATGAGTTGCTTCGGTATCCGCGTCGAATCCATACGGCTCACATGACCGATCAACATCAGGTGTCTCAGCAATAGTATGCAGTCCGCTGCATACATTCCACTACGGCGCAACACTTCCGTGTCTGCAGCTCTGTCGCCCCAAGTGATGCGCAAAATCCATCGCACGCACTACTGATGGAATCGCTCGAGCTATCGCACTTCCCGACGGTACATGGTCCACGTTTCACTGCTGTATAGAAGAACGGACAGCACCATGGATTTGTACACCATCAGCTTTGTGCCAATGCTAAGCTGATGGTTGTTCCACACTCGGTACTCAAGCTTCCCGAATGCCGCCGCTGCCTTCGACACGCGATTCCGCAACTCAACGTGTAGCTGCTGGTCAGTCGACATCACACTGCCAAGGTAGCAGAAGCGGGAGGTGGTTTCCAATACTTCAGCACCAATGCTGATTTGCGGCAATATTGAAGATTGCACCTCCGGAGAAGGCTGAAAGAGACAGACAGTTCTGCTTGTGTTGATGGTGAGCCCGAATTTGGCCGCTGTCGAAGCCAGAGCACTAGTCATGTGCTGCAACTCATCCGCGCTGTGTGAAAACAACGTACAGTCGTCAGCAAACAGCAACATACGGATAGTTGTCTCACAGACTAGAGTTCTCACACCGAAACGACGGATGTTCAGCAACCCACCATCAATACGGTGCTCCACACGAACACCGTAAGCACAAGCGGCATCAAAAGCACAAGATAACATTGCATGAAGATATATATTAAACAGGGCAGGAGCTAAGACACAGCCTTGCTTCACACCAGAGACAACTGCAAAGTCATCCGAGGTCTCTCCACTCAGCTGCACCCTCGCTCGCATACCACTGTGCAGACATTCAATTTAACTTACAAACTTACGCGATATATATATATATATATTCGTAACACGGAAATGCAGAAATTGATGGGCCTGTCTTAGACGGCTGTTGTTCCCTCCCCTTCTCATTGTCTTCCGGTTTCGTTTACGATACGTTCGGACCATCACTTTTGTCGTGCTACCTTTCACCATCCATCCACTTTAAGCCCAGTTATTTTCACCACCTGTAAAGACTACATCCATCTGCTAACGAGATGTTAGCTAGACTCTTGTTCAACCTAGCTAAGTTGTTTTATAGTTGGGTGAGTTAATTTTATTTAACAGCCCACGAGATAATTGTTTTCAATTGTAATCCCCATGTTTATAACGAATTAATTCGCGTAATGTACACGGTGACCTCGGCAATCCGTAACCGGACTCACACTACATATAAGTGTATGCATAAATTTCTACACATTCATCGCACAACAGAGCGTTCTACTAATTTCACTCTTATGAAACAGACAGTCTCTGCACCCCGTTGTTAGTTAAAAGCCACGTTTCGAGGCTACTACATTATTGGCTCTGTCTTACACGGCCGAATTCAGGTGACTTTGCCCTCGGACCACGGGCAATTATAAATAGCAATCTTGGTCCTAAAAGTGTGTAAAGAGAGCCCTGTCGTTATTGTATCAAATCTAGTAAAACTCCAGAGATGGACAAACTTATCAACGACTTCCAACGAGTGGCCAAAGGTGGTGGTGATTACAGCAGTTCCTATCCAGTTAGAAAGAAAAACCATCCATTTTTTATACATATATATCAAATATGTTGCCAAAGTGTAATTGGCCGAATGTCATAACACACGAGTAAACGGTACAAATAGCAAAGAGATCTATTTTCATCAGGCGGTTACAGTAATTTGAATATTCGAAAGGAGATCACTTCGGCATTTGGACTTCTTCACTTAACATTATTCATGAGTTGGCATGAGTAAATGCGCTAAAAGTGTGAGAAAAGACCACCATGGAAGGTCAATTACACAATCTGATTTTCAGTGAGTGCATTTTTGTCCAGGTCCGATGGCATTATCAACGAAGTGTGTTCGTGGTCATTGAGTCACAACCTGGGAGTGAGGGGCACCCTACTGCAGCCAACTTTAGTCGTCGCCTTGCTTCCCTAAACCCAAGTTGTGCGTTGGTCACCTTTCCGTCACTTCCACTTAACATCGGTTCGCGCAAAGAGCGCGCTGCAGTGTAACTACTGAACAGACCTACGAAGCACATGCCCAATTTATCGAGACCTGTGCAAGGAAAGTAGACGACACAGCAATGTGTAAGGTCGTCCTGATGTTATGCTTCGGAGACAGTAATGCACCAAAACTGACAGTCTCTGGATATTTCTCGCTCAAACGGATCAGATCTTGCACCATAACGAAGTACTTTTCACGCCTTAACCCTGTATATTCGGCTTTCCAGTGAAAAGTTGAGACCACGCTGACGCCAGAGATGTTTGAGGTTAGTGAACGCGCTACTGACCTTGGAGACGCGCAGAGAGCTCGTTCTTTAATGCCCCTCCTGAACGCAGCTCTCAAGCTATACGAACTTGTCAACTACCTCCAGATAGTGGCTGGTGAGTGTACGATCAGGAGCAGCTCTTAGGCAGTCCTGGAATAGATCTTCTCACCTCAAAAGGTAAATGTCATTCCGAACTTTGCTATCAACAGCTCCAATCTGTGCAACATGCTTTGCACAGCCAACAAAGAGTCACGAATTACTACAGAATTGGGGACTGTTAGCTATAACCACTTCTCTGGTAATCCGAAGCACCTGAACAGATGTCTCAGCCATCGCAGCACTACGGTAGAGGTCATTTGGTCAGATATATGAATCTCAGGCCATCTGTTGTAAAAGCAGGTTGCAACAAGTAGATTTTTCTTATTCATCAGAGCAGTGCGGATGGGGCTCATATTTTCAATTGTAATTTCGGTCCACGGCTTCCTCGGGTATAGTATCGGTTGCACGAGAGACTCGACAGGCAGAGAACTTTCATCCGCTATTCGGCAAGCTTGATAGTTTCTCAGAAATGCTTCAATATTTGATGCCATTCGTGGCCACGAAAAGCAATGTCAGACTTTATTTTTAATTCGAGCAATACCTGGATGACCCACATGAGCACACGCAATTACCTTGTTAACCAGTGACGATGGAGCTACAAATACTGGTCCTCGCATTAGACAACCATCTACGACTGAAAGTTCCTCTCAAATTGCATAGTACAGAAGGAAACCACAGGAAATTTTGTTGTTCTTCGGCCATCCACGATGAACGTAAGCCACGAGTTGCTGCAGTCGCGTCTCTCTCATTCTCGGTTCCCAGTTCATTAATCGTCAGGGCGGACAAATGGGATCCAAGACTAAACACCATTGCCGTCTCGTTGAGTGTTTGTCTTCTATCTTCCAGTTCCAAAGGGAAGCAGGACATTCCATCCAAGAGCTGAATCTGCCATCCGAGCCAGTAAAAGATTTGGAAATCGTAACTGGGTAATCTGGCGTAACAACGATTGATTCGAATCGGGCAGAATCCTTTAGGTCCATTTAGGAGGGTAGTGAAAGAGTAGTGATCAGTTCGTAAAAGGAAATGGCAGCCGAATAGGTACAGATGTCACTTCTCGCAAGCGCACACACAAGCGAGAGCTTGCTTTTAGCCGGCAGAGTGGTGGCTCTCAGTCTCAAAAACTCCCGAGAACCGTAGACAATAGCTATCTCTTTATGGTTTTGTAGTTGTGAAAGAACAGTACCGAGGCCTGATTCGTCAAAGATTGCCACCAGGGGGCGTAGGAAATCTGTCGTTTAAGTTCGTCAAAGGCATTTTGTTGTTTGCTTCCCCAAACAAACGGTGATTCATCTTGTCAATTTCCCTAGTGGATCCGCCACGGTTGCAAAATCACGAACATATCACAAGTTGTAAGAGCACACACCCATAAAAGAGTTTAGTTCCGTTAAGTTACTAGGTATCCGCGAGTCAGCTATGGCATGCATATTTCCGTTACTGGGGTGAATGTTGCTGCGGGAAATGATGTACCCAAAATTTGGATCTCAGGGGCGTTAACTATGCACTTTTCACGTTCAAGCGGAGGTCGAGTTCACTGAGTCGATGAAGGACCTTATCTAAGGGCACGTCATGCTCTTCCGGTGAGGGACCGAGGACACAAATATCGTCCGCGTAGGCAACCTGTCAATCAATAACTGCAGACAACAGGTGCCGAGGTCAGGCTCATAAGTAAACTTTTTACTGAAACTATCCATCAGGGGCTAGAAAGGCGATAAAGGGTTTGGAGTCATCAGATAAAGGCATATGGAAAAACTTCTTGAATAGAGTTCTGAGAAAACTGTTGCACCGGAAAATCGAACTGTTAGCTCATCACAAGAAGGTAGCACAAATTGTTCTCGACTACTATCTGTCTATTTAGACCTTGTAGATCATCACATATCCTGACAGTGCGTGTTTTTCCAGAACACTTACCGTTGGATGTAACCATTCGGAGCAACCGATTGGCTCGATTATATCGTTCGCAAACATGTCCTGCAAGGCTGCTGATACAGCTTGATGCTTTGCACGTAGAATCGGTCGAGGTTGACTAATGGGAACAGGTTTCGCATCCTGTTTCGGCTGGATACGATGAACACCACATGATATACATCCGACAGGTTTAAAAAGTTTTGGATAGCGCTCTTGCCAGTAGGTTACTCCATTGGAGGAAACAGTCATGCGATCAAAAGATGGCACTACTTTTAAGGCAACCATTGCGTTCCTCCCAAGCAGAGGCCATTTGTTATCTGATGGTACGTATACCGCAACATCCGCAGATACCAGGCCAATCCGGAGAGGCACAATGAGAAAACCAAGAATGGTTAAATTATTGCCACTGTAACTCCGGTGTGAGTGAACAGTCGACTAAAGAGGGTATTCGGATAAGTAACGTTTGTAGAAGCTGAGGGGCACAATAGTAATGGGAGAAGCGGAATCAAATTCGACTTCTAGTGGAATAATAACTTTGTTCTTAGGGAATAAGACAGTTCGAATATTTTCGGTTCAACAACAGATAGCATCACATTTCCAAAATTGCTGACCTCAGCAGTGACTGAGTAAACAAGCTACTCGGCTGAATCGGCTACGTCGTACTCGGGAACGGAGTCCTGTTCAACGAGTGCAATGCGTTGGGATCGTCAACAGCGAGCAATGTCCAATGTTTCCAACTTTTACTTATGAGTCTGCGGGTTGGACAAGAAGTGAAGTTAACCTCGTGGGAAATACTACCACAGCAGTAGCAGAATGCTTTACTCTTTGGTAAGGGATGAGTAGACTGTAATTTTGCCACATCGGTTAGTTTAGTTGCACAGACCTCCTTTGCCTGCAGAACAACCTCCATCTTCATTCTGGCCAAATCGCACGCTCGATCCCAGTTCAGAGTTCGGGCGCCTTCCTGTAGCAGCATTTCAAGTATACGGTGATCAGCAACTCCAGAGATCAATTGTTGCGTCAGTATGCAACCTTCGATCTTTTTCTGCGGAATAGAAGAGTAATCGCACGGCCGTACTGCACGACTAAGTCTGGTAATAAAATCATTTAGAGACTCACCTGGCTCTCGTTGCATTCGGGAGAAGATGTACCTTGCAGTAAACAGGTTTAGTTTGGAGCCCAAAATGTGATCGAGAGCTTTGTGTGCATCACCGGCTGATTTACATCCCTGAAGGTTTAGGTCATCAAAGTGCCGTTGTCCCTCATCTCCGAGCAAGCAACGAAGCTGTCTTAACTTATTTTCCTCACTGATTGGAAACTTTAGGTCGATAATTAAACCCAACTAATTCTGGAAGGAAATTTTTCAAAGAAGCCAGGCGTCTGATATAGGCCTGTTTCCACAGGCAGTCCAAAATGCCGATAGAGGTTGAACTGAAAGATTCATGTTTGTATTCGCGACGCCAACTGTTTTATCAGAAAGACATAGATGCTACAGAAGTGTGTTGTAGGAGACACGTAGAATGTACAACTGCCAAAAACGAAAAAGCACTCACTAATCGATAATCGATCAATCACCGTTGAGCGAAGTTCAGCCAATCAGTGTATGTCCAGGGTAAGGAATCATAACTATTAGCATCTCGATGTGTTTATTATCATCTCAGTTGTCTTTTGTCTTTTGCAGTATCGGTGCAGTAAGATGGAGGATGATCTGGCCGAACTAAACAAATCGAACGATGAGTTGGAACAAATTCGTACCAGCCAGGCTTCCAAAATTGCTCAACTACAGGAAATTATTGATAAACAGCACAAGCAGCTGCTTGAATGCAGAGCACGTTCTACCGAGGTCATCGATGTGCTGAAAGAAGACTTATCAAGTTACAGAAGGACAGTGGATCAGCTTAGACGTTCAGAAGGAGAGGTTGGTGGCATAACATCACTAGCAGTATCTGCATTTAGTTCTTTGCACTGTAAATGTTACACCAGCAGATGACTGCCTGGAGGAGTTCCAATCCTTTTGGGGCTGATATCTTGATTGCAATGACCTCTTCCTACCGCTACTTTATACGCATATTTAGTAATCTTATTTCCAAGCTATCCATAATAATATATCTCATATATGTACTTCGATGCACCTTGTGATATGTGCACTTAGTTGTCCGATACCTTATCTTTTAGACCTATTTGTTGAACTGAGGGAATACTCAAGAGCAATCTTCGTGTTGGCTCCATTTAGAAAGTAATTATTTTACTGATGGAACCGGGTGGTGCGCAGCCATTGGCAACCCCCAATAGAGAGAATCGGCCGTCTGGTGGGTTTCCCAATGGGCACTCAGAATACCTGGCTTGTGTGCAGCTAAGCGAAGCAGCATTACTTCCAAAACAATCCTCCTACTCATTAGCAACTATCAATTTCCCAATTCTGGCAAGCCCGGCGGGTTAGATATACCTGGATTCAACTTAATATGTTCTTAACTCAAAAAGAGTGACATCGTTGTGGTCCCAATTTGTGCCGTTGGAATGTCGGAAGGATGAACCGATTAAACCTCATGGCTTTGACAAGGAGTATGGATATCTGGCTCAGATGTGGCGCAGACTGTGGGACAGCTTTTCCTCTCTGGCTGTGCCAAGGTCTACATAGGATATACAAGTCAGCGGAACCTCTGCAATAGTGTAAAAAGGAATAAGCGTCGACATTTCGAAGAGCAGTTCGCAATCGCTGCGAAGACAGCCCCAAAGAGAATCTTTGCTCCCGTGAAACAATGCCTGAAGACGTTAGGTGATGTGCCAGTGCTGGATGGTCCGAACGAACAGCCCCTGACCTCCAGCACTGAGGGTGCGTGAGCGAGATGTACAGCTTTTACCGAACGACAATCTGGATTGCGGCGTTAAAGAAGTATGTCAACTACTCGCCATCCTTGATGACACCAAACGTGCCGGACCAGATGGGTTTCATCCACTGATTCTCAAGTTGCTTTCGGCCATTATCTCTCCTGTCATGACTGACCTTTACAACAGGCCGCTATCTGAAGGTCCGTTGCCGATTGATTAGAAAGGTTCAGTGGTGAAGCCTATTCCGAAAGGCGGTGACCCTAGCAAAGTAGGCAATTACAGGCCAGCAGGCGGGAGAGCCTATGGTGCGCTGAGGCTGGTGGTGGCTAGATCCTGACAGATGGTCTACCCACTGCTGCTACTGTTGCGCCATGGCCTCATGTCCTGGGCGCCTCCACGTGGCGACCGCTGGGTGGGAGTTAGGTTTCGCCCTTCTCCCTACTAAGATCCAGGACACCAATCCGCATGAGTCAGCTAACTGACCATGTGCTAGATCCGCTGCCTTTCGGGTGATCATTTAATCGAAGGCTTTGGCTGAGGGCCCGAGTCGTACTCCTGTGAGGATTGGGCGCCCTGGCAGTATCCTAGTCCATCCTCTCCGGAGGTTAGGAAGTGGTCGATGGCCCTCTTCCCGTAAAACGTAGCCATGGGAGACAACAGGTTTACGGGTGATATTCTCAAAGCTCGATTGGCGTAGAGCACGAGTGCCACGCATTGTCTCTGACGGTGGGAGGATACCTCCGGGTGTCCAATGGTTTGCTACTGCCCGTCTCAAGCCAGGCAGCCCCTGGTCAAATTGGTGCAAACCCGCCAAAAATCCACCTGCGTCTGGCCATGGTCGCAGGTGCGTATCCTACTACGGTCGCAAAACATATGATAATTGTTCCAGAACCTCAAAGGCTGCATGTGACGGCCGTCAAGCAGATCCCCATCTGTCTCTGCAATCACATTCCCGAGCTGGATCTGCTCTCCACTGCCTTGTGGGTCAAGCTATTGAGCCAAAGGCTCCGGACGGAGTCCCTCAAGCAAATCTCCAAACCACCCACTGCCTTGTGGGTCAGGCTATTGAGCCAAAGGCTCCGGGTGGAGTCCCTCAAGCAAACCTCCAAACCACCCACTGCCTTGTGGGTCAGGCTATTGAGCCAAAGGCTCCGGGTGGAGTCCCTCAAGCAAACCTCCGAAGCACAACGACCACCTCGCGTGCGATTGCCCACCAATGCAATCGTATGCCTGCGCGCAAAGCACTCAACATGGGGCGCTGGAACGTGCGCACACTACTGGACCGGAACTCGAGCGAGCGCCCGGAGCGACGCACTGCACTGGTCGCAAAGGAGCTGGCGCGCTACCACATCGATATTGCGGCGCTCAGTGAAACTCGGCTCGCTGAGCAAGGTAAGTTACATGAAGCAGGTGCTGGCTACACATTCTACTGGGTGGGCAATGCCGCCTCAGCACCACGTGAACATGGGGTCGGATTTGCAATATCCGATCGCCTCTATGGCCAGCTGGTGGGTGAACCAACGGGCATCAGCGCGCGACTGATGACTGTTCGCCTACGACTCGGAAGAGTTAAGTTTGCCACCTTTATAAGCACGTACGGTCCGAGCATGTGTTATCCTGATGACACGCGTGATCAGTTCTACACTGAGCTATCCTCCGTGATACGGTCTGTGCCGAGGAGCGACCGACTATTTCTGCTGGGTCATTTCAACGCGCGCGTTGGGCGTGACGCATCAGCGTGGACAGATGTTATCGGTGCGCATGGCATTGGTTCAGCGAATGCGAACGGTGACAGGCTGCTCTCACTGTGTGCCACTCACGGCCTGACGATCACGAACACTCGGTTTGCACTGAGTGCGAGTGATATAGCAACTTGGACGCACCCACGGAGTGGTCACGCTCACCTGCTCCACTATGTCATCGTACGTCAGCGTGATATGCGTGAAGTGCGCATGACAAGTGCACTGCGTGGAGCTGAGTGTGGCACTGATAACAAATTGGTTCGGACCAAACTGTACATATATTTTCGAAAATCTATGTATTGCACTCCCGCCGTGAATCGGCGTAAATTTAACATTCTCTCCCTCGGTACTGTGGCGAAACGTATTGAGCTGGAGAAGGCGATGGCTGCACGCCTGTGTGATGTGGACTGCATAGCCACAGTGGGCGACCTGTGGCACGACATTCGCGATCAGGTGACAGCTGCTGCCGAGGAGACCATCGGGCGCGCAAACTGTAAGCGGCCTGATTGGTTTGATGACAACAATGTGACGATTGACGCATTGGTGTCAGAGAAGAATGCAGCATTTGCTGCACATGTGGCAGATCCCAGTGACTTGGGAAAGAGTAGTCAGTTTCGCAAACTTCGACGGCGACTGACCCGAGAGCTCCGTCGCATAGAAAATGCATGGTGGACGGAGAAGGCGAAGCAGATGGAATGCTACGCCGAACGCCGTCAACACAAGGAATTCTTTGACTCCTTGAAGGCGGTGTATGGACCGAGATTGGAGTCGCTGAGGACACTGATCGATGGTAGTTCAGGCGCTACCTGTACCCAGACTGCAGACATAATGCAGGTCTGGCGGAAACACTTTGACTGTCTCTTGAACAACCGTTCAGGGATCGACTGGCCTACATTGAATGGCCTGAAGCAGCACGATGTGAAGGCGGATCTGGCGGATACGCCGAGACTGGATGAGACGCAGAGAGCACTTCCTCAGCTGCGAAACGGCAAATGTGCCGGAGGTGACGAGATCCCACCTGAAGTATTGAAACACGGTGGACCAGCGTTGTTGACTGCGCTGCACCACTTGGTGCAACGTGTATGGATTGAGGAGGAGGTGCCTGCTGAACTGAAGAATGCTCTTGTGCTACCACTGTACAAGGGCAAAGATAGCAAGCAATGTTGCACGAATTATCGTGGCATCAACTTGCTGAGTTGTGCGGGCAAGGTGATTGCCCGAACCCTGCTCAATCGCCTCGTGAGTCAGATTGTGGAACCAAACGTGGCGGAAGAGCAATATGGATTCCGTTCGGGTCACAGCACCATAGATATGGTGTTTGCGGCTCGTCAGTTGCAAGAGAAGTGCAGAGAACGACACCAGCCATTGTACTCGCTTTTTGTTGATTTCATCAAGGCATTTGATACGGTGAACCGCGAAGCACTGTGGCTGGTGTTGGGTAAGTTTGGTTGCCCGCGTAAGTTTGTAAGTTTACTTGATTGTCTGCACAATGGTATGCGAGCGAGGGTGCAGCTGAGTGGAGAGACCTCGGATGACTTTGCAATTGTCTCTGGTGTGAAGCAAGGCTGTGTCTTAGCTCCTGCCCTGTTTAATATCTATCTTCATACAATGTTGTCTTGTGCTTTTGATGCGGCTTGTGCTTACGGTGTTCGTGTGGAGCACCGTATTGATGGTGGGTTGCTGAACATCCGTCGTTTCGGTGCGAGAACTCTAGTCTGTGAGACAACTATCCGTAGGTTGCTGTTTGCTGACGACTGTGCGTTGTTTTCACACAGCGCGGATGAGTTGCAACACATGACTAGTGCTCTGGCTTCGACAGCGGCCAAATTCGGGCTCACCATCAACACAAGCAGAACTGTCTGTCTGTTTCAGCCTTCACCGGAGGTGCAATCTTCAATATTGCCGCAAATCAGCATTGGTGCTGAAGTGTTGGAAACCACCTCCCGCTTCTGCTACCTTGGGAGTGTGCTGTCGACTGATCAGCAGCTACACGTTGAGTTGCGTAATCGCGTGTCGAAGGCGGCAGCGGCATTCGGGAAGCTTGAGTACCGAGTGTGGAACAACCATCAGCTTACCATTGTCACGATGCTGATGGTGTACAAATCCATGGTACTGTCCGTTCTTCTATACGGCAGTGAAACTTAGACGATGTACTGTCGGGATGTGCGGAATCTCGAGCGGTTCCATCATTAGTGTCTGCGACGAATTTTGCGGATCGGCTGGGGCGCCAGAGTTGCAGACACGGAAGTGTTGCGCCGAAGTGGGATGTATGCAGTGGACGGCATACTTTTACTGCGACACCTGAGATGGCTCGGTCTAGTGAGCCGTATGGATTCGACGCGAATAC